CTTTCCTGCCTATACAGGGGGTCGGACTCTATGATCTACTGAGGTCCCTTCCGACCCTAACATCTACGAATCTATATGCATCCTCGCACTCTTCACTGTTCTCATAAAACATAGTCTTCAGTTCCATCCATGGGCACTGGATATACAGCACTTCTTGAAGCCTTTAATAATGGATTCTGAAAATATCCTTTCCCAAGAAGTCAGAATCTATTGGCAAAGTAGTGTTATGGTTGGCTTCATAATCTTCCCACCAGATCTAAGCACATGGTTCCCTGCCAAGAGCCAGTCTGAGTACTGACACCATAAATTGTCATTAAAGGGCTTATTTACTGACATCCAATACGAGTTGAAATGTCATACCAGCAGGTCTGACTACAAGATCACAATTCACTGACTGAATTTTTGCTTTCACATCTGACGTTAAATACCTTCTGAATGAATCTAACGTCAACATTCCTCTTTTCTTTAGCAGTGCCCCAGGTCTCCATTTCCATACAACATCTAAAGAGTCATTCATCAGTTCACTTGACATCCATTCTTGTTCTTGGCACCTAAACACTATTTCTGGTAGAAACTTTTCTTTTGGCAGAGTTTTGCATTTCAAAATCATAGGTTGGCAATTTTCTCCCATCCACCAATACTGCTAACATCACTAATTCACAACCTTTCATTTCCTGCAGTTCTCCTAATTATGGATTTTGTGCCTCTCACGGATGATAGCATTGCTTGGCATGTCAATATAGACTGGTCTCAACAGCATTACATATCTGGCCCAGCAGGTAATCATATTTTGTGTAGCCCAATAATATACCACCAGAATTCAACAATTTTTTTGCTGCAGTCTGATGATAATTTTTGCGCAAGTGATGTTCTTTATCTTGGGGCTAAGCCACTATGTCACATAATTTAAATACACCACCCATTACTTGCTTTGAATTTTTTAAGAGGAACATTCAATTCCTTTGCTATTTCTAATGCCTTGAGTCAAAGCACTTCACAGGTAATTGGCATTCCCCTCCTTTCTCAAGCATACTTGAGAACTTGCTTATCAGATTTCAGAAAAGTGACCTTATTTTGGACCTCTGAATGTTTTCTGTGTGGACTTAGCATTTTTGGGTTTTCCTTTTAATTGCTTCTATCAATGCACAGTTGCTTCAGTAATATTATAACTTCCTTCCCACCTCACAATTACACTTTTTTAGCATAATTTACAACCTTCATTTTTAAGTTTATATCATAGCTGCCCCTTAATCCTTTTGGTATCTTCAAACTTGTACTACTTCTTCCTTTTTCTTACTACATGGTGAGCATATCTACACGAGACATTTATTGCGCAGTTGACTTACTGAACAGTAAATGTCTCAGCGTCTGCATGTGCACCTCTATTAGGGTGAATGAAACTAATAAACTCTGCAGCAGGGTAGTACTTGTAAATACAAGTACTGTGGAGTTTCTTTGTGCACAGCAGGACATGTGTAGACACTGCTCTGGCTGGCTGGGGCACAGGGTGCTTCAGTGTGGGGCTAGCTGGCAGGCAGCCCCTGCACTGAAGTACTCTCATGCCTCAGCCAACTGCTCCACAGCATATGGAGCCCAGCTGAAACAGCCCTGGGCTGGCAGGCTGACCTCCAGGTCCCCTGCCAGCCCAGGCTGCTCCAACCAAGCTCCATGTGCTACACACAAACTTTGGAGCAATAAGCTCCAGATTTTATTCATGCACATTAATCGCACATGTAGATATGCCCAGTCTGTAATGGGGATCCCTCACCACTACTCACCCCACAGAATTTGCCATGGTTTTAAATTTGGGCCAGTCAGTGGTGATCCGTCCCTGTAATCTGCTGCTTTCCCTGCTACCCTGGCTGGGTGCTCTCCTGCCACCTGCCCCTCTGCTGGGTACTTTGCTGCCCAGAGCCTTGCTGTGTGCAAGGTCCCTCACTGGCTAGCTTATGCTGGGCCCCTCGTTGTTGCTTCTGGGTCCGTCGCCACATGCTGGATCACTTGTCACTGCTGCCTGGTCCATCACTGGAATTTCTAGGAGTCTTGCCATGTGCTAAATCCCTTACTGCCACTGCTCTACTGCTGCCCAGAGCTTCACCTTGCATTGGGTCCCTCACCATATGCTGTCCCTCATCACTGCAATTAGGTCCTTCCCTGCAGCATACAGAGTGTCTGGCTAGCCCCCAAAGGTCCCTCCTCCTTGAGTGCTAGCAAGCCCTTCTTGGGTCCCTCCCTGCTGTGTACTGACTGGGATCCCTCCTTCCTGGGTGATGACCAGCCCCTGCAGGGTCCCTCCCTGCTGTGTGCCTGCCAGGCCCTCCCCACAGTGTGCTGGGTGCCTGGCAGGCAGGTGATCAGGTGACTTCCAGCTGCTGCCTGGTCAGGGGGTACCAAGACAATTCAGCATGTGCTGGCCAGGCTCCTTGCACACAACTCAATGACCCAGCAGGCACTGGTCAGGCACTGCCCCCACAACATGCAGGATTTCTGGCCTGTATGTGCTGAGTCACTCTGAGCTGCTGCCCCAGTGGCAAGTGCCAGAGCAACTCAGCATGCACTGACAGCCTGGCTGTGTTCCTTGCCACATGCCAGGTTGTTCTGGCACCCACCACTTGAGCAGCAGCTCAGAACAACTCTGTTCACACTGGCCAGAAACTCCACATGCTGGGGGGACTGTGCCTGGCCAGTGTCCACCAGGTCATTTCAAGCTGCGTCCAGGGTTCCTGGCCAGTGGGTGTTGAGTCACTCTGTACAGCTGCCTGCCAGCACATGCTGAGTTAATTTGTCACCCTCTGGAGAGAAATCCTGCATGCAGCTTGAAATGACCAGCAGGAGCTGGACAGGCACCCCCTGCAGAATATGGGGTTTCTGGCCAGCATGCGCCAAGTCCCTTGCTGTGTGCCAGGTTGCTCTGGTACCTCCTGCTTGAGCGGCAGCTCAGTCCCTTGGCATGTGCTGGCCAGAAACCCCATAGGCTGTGGGGACAGTGCCTGGCTGATACCTGCTGGGTCATTTTGAGCTGCCTGAAAGATTTCTGACCACAGGGTGCCCAAGCAACTTGGCATGTGTTGGTAGGCAGCAGCTGGGAGTGACCCTACATTAGCTGGCTAGGAACTCTGCATGCTGAGGGGAGGGTGGCTTGCATGAGCCTGGGCACCTTCTGCTGGTTGGCCATGTGATGGGTGCCTGGCTGCGCTGTTTCTTAACTAATCTCATTGTCCCCTGCGCATTTTCTGATTCCAGGTAAATCATGTGCAATAAGACCAGGCTTAATTTTCCTCATGTTGAATGGGAGAAGGGGAAACCCTCATTTTATAATTGACTAAATACAGCAAAAATAATGTTGTAATTTACAGATTAGATTATTAATTTGTAAATTCTTTTCAATGTACTTGATACAATGTATTTTACTGTAATGATAATTCCTCAAGAACTGAAGACAGGATATTTGCAGGGCCTCACAACAGAAGTGTGGCACTTGATCAGTAAAGGTTTGTGATAACCTGAGCAGATTTTTCCACATACTTGTAGGCCAACCAGGGGGCCAAGGAGATCCTCTATATTTGCAAGTCTAAACATGAAGAATTAAAGCAGTCTGGTCACTTAGTTGTAATTTCTACTAAAGAGTGTACACTTGAGATCTGTGCAATAGCAGTGGAATATTAAGAGGCGCCTTACCCGCAAGAGTTGCCAATCACTGCACACAAATAGGCTAATGAAGTCTTTGCAGTCACGTCTCTCTGCTAAGGCCATGTAGTGACCATCTTTCGTAAAGGCTATCCCTGCCAAAAAGATTAGAGTTTTATGAGGTTAAAAGAAAGTAAAATTGTGAAGTCAAAGCAACAGCTTTTCATGAAAGAACAATTAAAATCTTTATTTTCCTTTAGCCTGTCCTCTAACAGATTAACATCTGTTTCTTCTATTGCAAAGATTAGTTAGTAACTGGTTTGTTACTTTGGAAGTTTTTACACATTAAATATTTAATTATTTTGTCAGGTCACATGTTTAGCCACTGTCAGATCATGTTTATGTAAAACTGTACTTTAATAAAAGAAGTAAGTGGTTAAATAAATTGAGATGGAAGAATTTGTTTTTGAAATAAGAAATTCATGCCCTTTCCAATATCAGTTCTCAACAGCTCTCATATAAAATACCTGAACTGCTTCATGTAAGGAAGAGTAGCACAATCTCAGAACAGAAGGCAGCTAAGCTAAAAGCTAGTATTCTAACTTCAGTTCTGACACTAATTCCTTTTTTACGTTTCTTAAATGGCAATCAAAGCTACTTATCTTTTTGAGGATTAGTATTAGTGAAGTGATAATATATCCAACCAACCGGCCAAACAACCACATTATTCACTGATGTAATGGAGTGCATTAGGCACTTTGCAAAAGTAAGCAAACTCCTTGTTCCAAAAAATCCCACGATCTAACAAGCGTTACCAGAAGTTGTTCCCACCCTTCTCTGAAGAAGCTATCATTGTACATGGGGCAAGTATCCCCCTTCTTGGGGTTTCACTTTAGTGGTAACAATAGTCTTCAACCCAAACTTTTCTCTCATCAAGCTTGGATGAGTCTACCATTTCTCCTGCATATTCTTCCTTTCCACCATATTTCCCTTTGTACCTACTCAAAGAAACTTGCATCCCTTTTTCAGTCCTTTCTGGAATTAATTAAAACACACCTGCCACTAAGACATGACAGTAAATTACTCTGTCATCACACATAGCTCAAGTACTGGACATCAGTGTCTTGAATCTCTATGCCAGGTCTCAGTATGCCACCCTGTTGCAACCATGTTTGCATGGATTGAGTAGAGGTGCATACAAAGAAAGAGTAATGGAGAGGACATTTACATGCTTTTGTGTCATTCTGGGCTCTCTAGCTATATGATTTACAGAAAATATCACTAGTTACTGTAAGACCTCACAACCATTTTGTTCAGTATCTTTAAAAAAAAAAAAGACATGGGAAATGGCCAATTCAATAAGCTAAATGCAACACTTGCATCTCAGGCAGTGAGAACATGATTACAGAATAGTTCTCACTGCCACTGACTACAATAATGGTAGTACATAGGTACTGAGCTTGCTGAAGGAAGATTACATTCTCCAAGGCTGATGTACAACTCAGGTGGCAAGAACTCAGATGCACCCAGATCTTAAACATATGTTTGATCATTATATGTAAATTCCATTCTCTGCTGCCATTATTAAAAATACCATTCCCATATTAGGTTTGATACACTCACCCTGCTGACAGGCTTTGGGATACTTGATATAAGATACAGATTTTGTACACAAGGACCAGACAGTTATCCGCAGCTGTTGGAGAGAACAAGACAAGATAGTATTTGTTTATCTTTGCAGCTGAAAAAAAAAGTATACAGGGAACCTACTTCCAGAACACCAAATGCTCCATTAGAAGAGTACGTTACTCTGCATATTTTTTTTTCTGAGGGTCTCATGTCAAAATATATAAGACCACAGAACCCAAAACATTTGTTAATATACAAGAAACATTGTTAGACTCCCTCTATTGTGATATTCAATTCTTTTTTATTCACAAGCATCTTTTCATAACACGTTTATATAAATCTTCTATTAAGTTGTCTAACAATTCGTCAAGTTAAAAGCATCCACAGAACTAGTACTTTTGCTGTCGTTTTATTTCTTGGTTGCATTGTTTTCAGGTGTAATGTATTGCAGCCATTACAAAAAAAATAAATAAATTCCACTATAATGCAGTATACAGTTATCTCGGATAACTGCAGACCCACTTCTGAACTTTTCAAAGCAGGGAATTCCACGAAGAAACAAAAGCAAACAGTCCTTCCGTGTTAGATGTAGATGTGTAAGAGTTTACATTAAGAAGGTAGCCTTGCCTTGCAAGAAGTCCTAGTACCAAACCTGGTCAAAATTTTGGCAGCAGAAGCCTACTATGTACATTAATAAATTACAAGAATTTAAAATGCAAGTAAACATGAAAGACAAAACAGATCACCAATTCTGCACTGTCCATGTTCAATTCAGTTGCATAGTCCCAAATTTTCCCATATAATTGGAGATCAGCATAGGTCTGATGCAATATCTAGACCTAAGGAACGGAGTTAAGTGCTATACATCAACTATGTTGTCTTTGCTTTTCCTTAGTTCCACGAACATCAACTATGTTGTCTTTGCTTTTCCTTAGCTCTAAGAGTTTAATGAAAAGCCTTAAAATTACTCCACAAAACATTAGCATGGGATCCTAAGTAAATCTAAGATCTGTAAGCACTCAGTTCCCATAATTAAAAAAAAAAATATTAGTGACACGTAGCTCAAGTGTTGCAAAGCATACAAGATGCAGAACATTAATACTACTTCAATAAGAGTAATATTAGTTGTGGATAATAGGAAAAGAATAACTTCACACTGTCTGTGTCTTATAGGTCACTTTCACCTACATCAGAGGTGGGCAATTATTTTGGGTGGAGGGCCACTTATGGGAAATTGTCAAGAGCCCATGGGTAGCCCTGCCCCTTGACAGTTGCCCCGCCCCTGGTTGCCATATTGGGATCGGAAGTCCAACCTCCTAGCCCCTGACCTTTGCCATTGGAAGTCCCTCCCCTTGCCCTGGAAGTACTCCTTTTGGGAGGAAAGGTGCTGTGATCTGGAAACTGAAAAATAAATTAAATAAATAAATAAATAAATAAACCCACCCACAAAAATACACACACAAAACATCTACTATAACCTATTTTAATTTTATTTTAAAATATTTTTCTACTGATTTATGTGTTTAAAAAAGTGTATCTAGAGGTGTATGCATAATAGCTTAAAATACAGTCCTACTGTGTGTTTTGTGTGGGCAGCAAGGGGTATAAGTGGTGGTGTGGTGGGAAGAGTGTGTGTGTTTGAGTGTGTGTGCATACGTGCTGTGGGGTGTGGGTATGCTGGGCTGGGTGTGTGCTGAGAGAGAGCCAGGGCTGGGCTGCCAGCTCCATAGTGTGCAGCTATAACACACTGCATGTGAGCCTCACACGATGCAGCCAGGCAAACCCCATGCCCAGGCTGTTTCTACAACCCCACCCTGTGTGTCTGCCAGTCCCAGGGCACTTGCACAGGCTCCGTGTTTCCGCCCGCCACCACCTTTCCCTGCATTCCCTCCTGCAGGCTTGCCCACTGCTCCCTGCAGTGCTCCCCGTGGCCCCCACCAGGGCCCACTGCCTGCCACAGCCCTGATGCGACTCCACGGCCTGGCGCAACCCTGCCACTCACCATGGCTCCGCCATCTGCCGGAGCCCCGCGCGGCTATGCTACCCACTGGGAGCCACTGCACCTGTGCTGCCACCGCCCTCTGGGGCTCTGCTGCCTGCCGGGTCCTGCTGGGGCCCAGCTGCAATTCTGCTGCCTGTCGGGGCCTGCTGTGCCATCTGCAGGGGCCTGCCACGGCCCCACTACCCACTGGGTCTCCACCACCTACCAGGTCCCGCTGCAGCTCTGCCACCCACGGGGCTTGGCTATGGCTCTGCCACCTGCCGGGGCCCGCCACCTGCTACTGCTCCGCCACCCACCGCAACCCCACCAAATGTCAGGGCCCACAACGGACAGTTGCCCGCCGTGGCTCTGCTGCCTCCTGGGGCCCGGCCACAGCTCTGCCACCTGTCAGGGCCCACTGTACCGCCTGCCATGGCCCCGCTGCCCACCAGGGACCACTGTGGCTCCACTGCCCGCTAGGGCTCCACCGCCTGCTGTGCACCACGTGGGTCCCACCGCTCCCTGCAGCTGCCACGTCCCGCACTGCTCCCCACAGCCCCCCTCCCACCGCACCGCTCCCTGCAGCCCCCACCGCTCCCCGCAACCACCACTTCCAGCCACTCTTATCTCATTTTCCACTCAGAGGGAGGGAGCGGGAACAGCTCCAGGAGCAGGGGCCAGAAGCTACAGAGGCTTCTGGTTGGGGGCCGAGGGCAGGAAGCTGGTGGGGGGCTGGGTGGAGCCAGGCTAGCCTTCTTGCTCAGCCACAAGCTCCCACTGGGTCTTGCTGCTGCTAGTCGCCTGTCATCTTTGATAGGCGGCCACAGGCAGACAAATTAATTTTCTAAAATTTTTAAAGGCTCCGCAGGCCAAATAGAACAAGCTGGCGGGCAAGATCCAGGCCGCGGGCCATATTTTGCCCGCCCCTGACCTACATAAACAATTTCTAAGTCTCAAACAATGTGAAATAAATAGTCGAGAAAGAACAGAGAAGTTCTTGCATTTAAGTCTTTAATGAAATTCAAGAGAATAGGAAACAGTGTCAGTTCAAGACTTAGTGACTACATGACTAGTTAATAAATCTACACTGTACTTTTCAGTTTTTGAAAAATCAAGGCCCATGCTCATTAATTAGCATCTCTCTCCCCACTCCTCAACCCATGCCAAAAAACACTACGTTTCACGATTATCCAAGAAGCTCAATTTACAGAAGTACCAACAGAAAACAAACTATACAAAATAAGCTATTTCCATGGTGAGTGAGGTATTTTTGGAGACTTGTGCATCTGCAGAATGCAGGAACTGCAGAGGAGGCAGTCAGCTGCAAAGCAGACCTCTCCACAGCACTTCAAGGTCACAGTCTGCATTATGGAAGCTCCACGTTACCATCTACAGATTATTCAATTAAAAACAAATACTTACTCCCCCATAGCAACAGCAGCAACACAAAACACATGCGCCTTCATCAATATGCCAAGTGAGCCTTGCATTTATATTTGGAGAGGAAAACCAAATTGAAAAAAGTTATTTTCTTACATGATGGAGAAAGCTATACTAGGAGGAAAGTCCTGGTACAGTACCAGCAACACCAACACATCTTACAATCAATAGCTAATATAATACATAATGTAAAATAACTATATCATTCTCCATATCGATTTTAATGGTTTGTCTAAGAAAGGGGAAAAATAAAACCATTAGATGATGTTACAGTCCTGAAGGGAGATATAGTTGCCCTGCCTCAAGGCCTACACCAGGAGTAGGCAACCCCCGGCACATGCGCCAGGGTGTGGCATGCAAAGGCACTTTTCCTGGCACGTACCCCAGGGCAGATGGCGGAAGAGCTGTGAGGAGTCTGATCCTTGTTGTGGCAGTGCAGCCTCAGCCCATGCACCTGCTCCCATCAGCTAGCCAGGCTGGGGCTCCATGGACCCAAGCGGAGCTGCTTGCTCGTGAGCAGCCTGGGCTCTGTGGCAGGCGGACAGGGCCTGCCCAGAGCCCAGGCTGACTATGGTATCAAAATGGGAGGCTGCAAGTGACTGCACCAAGGTGCACAGAGCGCCATCCTGGCTCTCTGCTGGTGGCAGGTATACACATACCTCAAGGCAGACAGCGGGGAAGGGGCCAGGGCTGCACCGTCACAACAAGGATCGAGCCCCTGACACGCCAATATCTTACAAATTGAGGTTGCAGGTGTTTTTGCCACTCTGCCCAAAAACACTGCCGACCCCTGGTGTACACCAACCACTGCCACCAGAGTTAGGAAGCTTCTACCACGGTTAGAATGTTTTTGCTTGTCCCTGCCAGGCTTACTTAAAACTTCCCTGAAATAGCCTTCTCCAACAGCGGTCAGTCCTGGTCAGGCATAGTTTTCGTTTATGTTTCTAGAGCAACTTTGCAGACTTTTCTTATTTCACTAAAATGAATTTTCCAGCCACAAAGTCAGATCCTGCACTTAACTTCTCGGACACTAACACCTGCTGCACGTGGCAAAGTGATGACTCAAGTGCTGGCCCACCTGTACTTTTACTAAATCCTAGTAAGTGGTACTTCTGCACATAAGAATCCAGGGAGTCCCAAAGCAAGAGATTATTAGTTTTAATTCACCAACCTCCTCCATGGTTAACATCATGAGAAGGGTCACATAAAGAATAATGCCAAAGGCTGCTTGCAAGAGAGGTCTAAAGAAGCAGCTTAGAAGTTGAACCAGGGCTTCTTGCAAAGCAGGAAAGAGCATAGTCAGTTGCTCCTTTGCTCCCCATTCCTCTATCTAACCTTGTTTGAACCAAGGAAAATGAAGAGTTAGTATAGGAAGTAGTGGTAGACGCATGTTTATTAAGGTGCACCGATAAAGATTTTTTTGGGCAGATAATGATGGCCTTATTAACCAGCCATATTGGCCAATACCAATCCGATTTCCGATATGAAGCCCAGCAGCTTGGAGAGCAGAGTCCACCTAGTAAGTCTGGGGTGGGGAAAGGGCATGTGGGGCCCAGATTGAGGCCCCCACGGTAAGAGAAGGAGTGGAGCTGGGGCAGGGGCAGACACTCCAGCTGGGACAGGGCAGAGAACGGAGCCATGGCTTA